GAGTGACCGACCTCTCATCGTCCCTGTACTATCATCATTCTTCAATTAATAATGAAATAGAACAATCTCAGCTGGCAATCGTCGCATCCACAACCCATTGGATGGCAGGATAGTGATTCAAATACTGGTATCAATGGCAGTCGAGCTAGCAGTAGTAGCGGGCAAAGACCACCGCCATCCGTGTCATCTACACCAATTACCACTGCGAGACCTGGCGAATTGAAGCAGGATAGACCAACTGTACAAATACCTATGCAACCTCGAAATTCTGCTCGTGATCGACAAACGCCAGTGGCAGAACAACCACCTGCTCCTCCGCCTCCACCAAACTACGATCCACCACCACCGCCTCCGCCAACACATCCGCCACCACCACCTCCGCCGACTCATCCACCGCCACCACCTCCACCACCTCCTTCAACAGAAGATGTGCAGCCGCCTCCACCACCAGCGTCACCTCCTCAGTCATGTCCAGCACCACCTCCACCTCCCCCAGCTTCAACGCCGCCACCACCACCACCACCATCACCCCCACAATCATCGCCTCCGCCATTACCTCCGTCAATACCTTCACCCCCACCGCCGCCGCCTTCTGAACCTCGATCGCCGTCACCGCCGCCTCCAACTCTTATCGAACCGCCGTCACCGCCATCACTACCTCCGCCACCACTACCGCTCTCAGCTGAGCCAATCCATCCACCCTCCCCGAAACCAGCTCGTCCGGAACTCCCACGGGTACCTTCCCTACCTCCAAAGCCCGTGCCGCCTTCATCATGGCACCCTCAAAGCCACAACCGAGAATCATCGTCGAAATCCCGTCCACCCGAAGCTGAACCACCCAGACCTGAACCACCCAAACCCGAACCACCCAAGCAATATTACTCTACCCCTCCTCTCCCAGCATGGCCACCACCCCGAGAACACTTTCCCCATCATCGACATTTCAAAATCCTCTATGACCCAGCTATTGATTCTGCGTCGGCCTCTTCTTACTCGTCGTCGTCCTTATATAATCCCCAGTCAAGTCCCAATTACCAACCGCCATCATATTACCGTTCACTCATCGAGCACGTGCGCAAACATGCCAGTAGTGCTTTTATGGTTCAAGAAAGGATAAAAGGAAAGGGGAAGGGGAAAGAGATGCTTTATAGATATGAAGGCGAAGTTGTTGGGCCTGCCGAACCTGATCAAGGGTTTAAGGAGGAGGAAATTGTGGTGCGAGATCCTAGGAAGGAGATTGGTTTCAAACGGCCGCCTACATTGAGACCTATGCGAACAGAATTCATAGAGATCAAATATGAGGTAAGCAGCCACTCACTACTGGTTTGCCCAAGCTTTCATACTTTAATTTCCGAGTGACCGAAGCTGACGTTTGACATAGTACGACATCAATTCGACCGGGCCTCCGCCACCTACATCAGTCCTCATCACGAACATCTCACCTCTGACTCCAAATAATGCCCTGCGGCAATATCTCGGCCAGCATGGCAACGTCGTCTCGTATGAACCTCAAGTCGACAACCAGACCGGGGGTGCGATCGGTGTCTTGTTCCTCAAGTACTCTACGCACGAAGAGGCAAAACGATGTGTGCAGAAGGAGAACGGGAAGAAGGGTGGTTTGCAATCGAATACGTTGGCGATGAAGCCAGGAGAGGTGGAAGAGTGGAAAGTTGTGTTCGATGGTGAAGGAGTGAAGCTGAAGGCGGTTATGCGAGAGTTAGTGGAAAGGAAGAAGAGGGAAAAAGAGGCGCAGCGGAGAGGTCCGTCGATTATTGACAGTGCGAATGCAGTGGCCAGTGGGAGCAGCAGTGCGGCTGGTAATGTCGGAGGAGCAGGAACGCCTATGTCTGGGATGCAAAGTCCAGCCCCTCGTAGGGGGCAACCGACAACCTCAAGCCACCTTTCTAGGCCTTCACAACGAGCTGCAACGGACAAGTCCAATGGTCACCACACGCCGCTTCAACATCCTCTACCCCAAAATCCAATGAAATCCGGTTCAAATGTGGTACAGAAGCCGTCCCAAGGAGACGCTAACGAACAAACTCAGGAAGGCGACAAGGTTCCTATTGTCGTAGCTGTCAGCGAGCCAAAACCACTCGATGCTCTGGTTCAGGCCAGACTGAACAGACAGAAGATGAATCTTGGCATGCCCAGTTCAACCGCCCCTGGGGTTGGACGAGGTAGGACAATGCTTCCCGTGAAATATGGAGCCTACAAAGCTTCTCCCATGAACGCCTCTCGCTCTCCGTCGCCATCAATAGCAGCCCACAAGCCCGGGATGAACCAAGGCCCCAAGTCGGTTGCAGACCGAGAGAAGGCCCACCAGGAGGTTGTGCGGGAGCTGGCGCAGAATGGGCACGATCATGTCAAGGTTCAGGGTGGTGTGCAGTTGGTGGCCAGTGTCAAGGATGAAGATGTCCGGAATTTCTTTGAGGGTTTCAATCCGGATAAGGTGAGTGGCATATGCCGTTGCTTCAAAGGTGGGAGAGGCTCACGGGTGTGCAATCTCTTTGTATAGGTTCTTCGAGATCATACTGGCCTTTATGTTACATTCACCAAGGCTGGCGTTGCCCAACGCGCCACGAACGTTCTTGGCTCGGGAACGAAGCAACTTGGTTATCAATCTGTTACCTTAAGCGCTCATCCACCTCCAGTTTACGAATCCACCGCTCAGAAGACAAGCTGGACGGAAATGGAGCTGATCGAAGAGGCACAAAAGCTCATCGTGCGCGAGCTCACGGACCTGCTGCAGAAGGACATCTCGGAGAGGATCGTGGGGCAGGACTTGAAGAAGTTGATTGTGGAAGCGAAGAGCAGAGGTCCGAGCGCGATGCAAAACGAACTGAAGCCGGTGGAGAAGAAAGGGTTGAAGGGTTTGTCTTTCAAGAAGGCTAAGAAAGTGAAGGCCGTGGTTGAGGTGGAGAAGGAGGATATGGGAGACGGGGAGATGGACGTCGACAGGCCGAAGAAGAAGAGAAAGAAGGAGGTCAAGAAGATAAGGAGAGTTATTGATGACGAGGACCTTGAGTCAGAGGACGAGGATGAGGCCGATACGATCAGATTGGCTGCACTCGATTCGGAAGATGTGCGGAAACGCGCTGTTTCCGAGGACCACGACGAGGAGGACGAGCCTGTGAAGAAGAAACAGAAGGTTCTCGAGGTCACAGTCAAGGGCAAGAAATCGTTGAAGAAGCTGAAACAAGATCTCAGAGCGGGTTCGGTGGACGCAGTCGTTCTTGGAGATGCAGAGTCGTTCGATTCCCCTGCCATCACAAAACTCCGCCTACTCGACGGTTTCGGATCCTCATTGTCTCCCTCTCGCTCACCTTCACCGGAACAACTCAAACGTCGGAAGCGTCCTGTCACACCACTTCCCACTCCTCCTCCAGATCCTGTGGGTCTTGGTCTCTGTGAAGATGACGAAGACCTCTACTTTGCCAAGCTCGCGTTATCCTTCCAGAAACCTGTTCCGGAGAAAGCACAAGCACCTCCATCTTCCTCCGACGCTCCCACCTTTCGTCAGCACAAGACCGGCAGTGCACGTACAGAGGGTTACTACAAGATCACCCATGCAGAGAAGATGGCATATGTCGTCCAATACCAGGCACGTGCCGCCAATTCCGGATCTGCCCCAGTGGTGGAAGAACCTCAACCTCAGCATATCCACACCACCTCCTCACGGTCAAATCGCGCGAATGCACGACGCCGTGCTCAGGGCTTGGAAGAGATCAACCAAGTCCAACGCGCTGTTGCGCTTTCCAAGGGAGAAACTGCCGCAAACGAGCTGACTTTCAAGTTCAATCAGCTCCAGACCAGGAAGAAACACCTACGGTTCGCCCGTTCTCCCATCCACGATTGGGGCCTGTATGCGATGGAGAAGATTTCGCGAGGAGAAATGGTAATTGAGTATGTGGGAGAGGTTATCCGCGCGCAGGTTGCGGACAAGCGCGAAAAGGCCTATGAGCGTCAGGGCATCGGCAGCAGCTACCTTTTCCGAATTGATGAGGACTTGGTGGTGGATGCAACCAAGAAGGGGAATCTTGGGTATGTTCTTCTGCTTGTCACCCGTTTATTTTTCTTTTTTGACTCACAATTGCTCGTAGTCGCCTCATCAATCATTCTTGTGATCCCAACTGCACTGCGAAAATTATCGCGATCAGTGGGGAGAAGAAGATTGTCATTTACGCCAAACAAGACATTGAATTGGGTGATGAGATCACCTATGGTACGTCTACCTTCTCTGTCAATGAATGTTCCGTTCTGATGCCCTTCAATTAGATTATCACTTCCCTTTCGAGCAGGACAAAATCCCTTGTCTATGCGGTTCTGCAAAATGCCGTGGTTATTTGAATTAGATTCCTTATAATCAGCACTCTTACATTTGTTTTCCCTCATTTATACCCTGCTCCCCTGCCATCCATCCCCGCATTTCGCATATCGAGCTATGTATGTTTTTAAAATGTTTGGGTTGTATTCCGGACGTTATTTGTGAAATAGTCACCAGTTTTGCTTGTAGCTTTTCTACGTTTGTAACGGTGCACAGGTTGTGCATCGGCGGCACTGTGATGCCACTATTTGACTCAGCTGAAATAACTCCTGATGCTTGTCTCGTACTTACCAACGCCAGTGTATGTTGAAAGTGAGTAAAGTATCCTTCTGATGGTCAATGGTGAAAGAGAAAAGTTGTAGGAACTGCCGTCTTGGATCTCACGAACCCGGCGCTTAACCAAGGGAAACGACGTTGTTACTTTATCGATCGAGGAGTGTGACGAATAAAAATAATATGCGGGGAACGCAAGATGATTCGAAGTCTGCCCAATGGGAGCCACGGCTACTGTACCGCCCCTCCTGAGACGGACCGACGTTGAACGAACGAAGGCGCGACATCAGCAGGCATCAGCAGCGCCTTGCCGCAACGCCAACAAAAGGTATCAATCGTAATACACAAATTGAGACGGCAATCTGGTAATGGAGAATCATGCAAAAATCAAGCATAAATTCTGCCCCAGAGAGACTTGAACTCTCGATCTTCCGATGTCTCGAACGTCGTTGATGTTCTAACAGTCGGACGCCGTAACCAACTAAGCCATGGGGCATCGGTGCTATTCGGCTTTTGCAAATGTGTTTGATGCGAGTAGTCCTGGACGGCCCCTTGAAGCAGCCCTCTATCCATCTTCTAGTTTCGCAAATTCCATCAAGGAATGCAAGGCATCGAACCTAACAGCAAATGTCGGTTGAATGACGAAGAGCTACCTCCTGGCCTACGAGCAAAAATGGAGGTCAGGAATTATTCCAAGCCTTTGATGTCTCCTCTTCGCCTCCTCCTGCACAAAACCGCTTGATTTGCAGCAGATCTCCTTCCTGAAAGTGACCCTTTCACTCGTTGTGACCAATACACGGACTCGCCCCTATTCTTATGCGAAGTTGAAAGGGAGAAGATCGAACTAGCGCCGCGACTAGCGATTTATCCTTCCAATCTACTAAATAATTCCTAAACTCGGTGCGAAAACATTTGCCAATAGCGGCTAGCCTGTTTTTTTGGAGACGTTGTATGACGTCCGTTGAACAATGGTCATTCTTTATTTACAAAAGCAGTGAAACAAGGAGAGAAATGCGTTGATGGCACCTGAAGTTGCTTGGGGAGAGAACCTAGAAAACGTCTCGCTTGTTCTATCTAAGTCTGCTCCACGATTTGGTATGTTGAGCCACCGTACATCCTTTGACTCAATAACTCAATGACTCCTACATCAAGCGGGTTGGAAATACTCTCGTTTCCGAACAAAAATACCTTTCGCATACCCAAACCGAAGTCGTTCGAGACGTAGCCAATGTCTGCGCTCATGACTTCAATTTCATCATTCTCGAAGCACCGTCTCTATTGTTGTCGTCGCCACAACGCTGACAAGACTCTATCTGTTGAGCCGACTGCCAATTATATGCACGTTTTGGCCGGATGGAGCCCAATGTAAATGCAGGGAAATCCCCGTTTCCGGTTGTGAACAAAATTTACGAACATGAAAGGATAAAGAAGAGCATGAGGAGAATCGTTAAGATAAAGAGACCAGTTTCAGTCTCCATAGGATCATTAACCCATGCATCCTGTTTGATTTCATAGAGACTTGAGGCGAGTCTACGCAGCCTACAAAAACAGGAGGATGGGAGAACCGAAAATACCATCGGTCGGCGGCGTTGCCTTGAGGTGTTCTACGTGTGTTCAGAACACACATGCCGTATGTATGGAGTAAGAAGGACAACACGATTGACTCTCGTCCAAGTACGGAGATTTTCTATGTCCGAGTTGAATTTGGCTCAATTTTTGTCAGACATGCTGTACCATAGTGGAATGATTTCCTGAATAATACTAGGAATGTATTTACATGTGGCAGAAGATCAAGATTGAAAGCTGAACGGCCTATTAATTATATTTTTACCCTCAGAAGTACCTTCAGTCAGGCGGCCGGAAGGAGACTGTGATATGGCCATAGCCTACCACCCATAAGTGGTATCCGACTCAATGCTGATACCCCGAGTCGTAGGTGTCCAACGCCTAACATATTTTGTTCTCATGTCATTACAAAGATGGTGGGTGAACAACCTATTCTGAGGAATGAGCGTGTCGTAGGCCTCGGAATATATGTATGTGTTTTTCGGGATTTTCTTGAAACGCCTTCTCTAAGTCCCGTTGTTTTCGCTAAATCTTCGATGAGACTGAGAGTTCCGCAGTAATAAATGATCGCAGTCTCGTGTTATGGTACATTTGTGATACCTGGTGGTCCATGCTCTTGAATATTCTCCTCGGACCAGGACCAAGCTATCCTTTAATCACACTCAAATTCAAGCTTGAGTTTTTTTACAGGCGATGAGGACTCGGCTAACGCGAATCTCAAATGAAATGATACGAAAGCTGGATGTTCTTGACTACAGAAGAGGGGCTACTAATTACCTCTAATTACTAAAAGTACACTTATCAGCAATGTGAACTTCTTTGCGACCCTTAACAAATCGCAATCAATGAACATGCCAACAAGTACCCACCCTCAATTCCGAGTCAATAACACCACGGCACGATATCAAAATCCCACCATTATTTTTGTAACTTAGTCAGTCTCTGTTGTGATGTTGTGTGATATTGCAAACTCTCGTTCTCGCCGCCGGAGCATCATAAACGCTAAATTTAGATCTAACGGAGTGGCGCACACTAGTCACGGGATTACTTCATCGCGAGCTTCAGAACATAGCACGCTTGCTTGCGCTCTGGCTCTAATCCCCTCATTGACTTTAGCAATGATCCAGTGTATAGTACCACCTCCAGCGTTGGAAGAGGTACCGGATTTGAAGGCACTGTGAGGATCAGTATCCACGGGCAAAACCTGCGGTTACACGAGGTTAAGGTGGACACGGCGTCCAGAGGCTGCAAAAGCTATGCTCGGGACATTGTAATTTGAGTTTTTGCAAAGACTTGAACCTGGGTAAAAAATAGGGACGACACCGGTCCTGCATGCCGGTCAGTCAAAAAACCCAGGAGGACAATTGATAGCTAAGTAGTGTAATATACAGTACTTGGGTGGGTGACGGTTTTTGTTGGAAGTCGTCGGTCAAAGGAAACGGTAGTCCAAGAAGCTCATACTGAATTCCGAGCAGCCCGTCTGATTTCCATATGAATGGGGCAATGGCGGACCACTTCGACTGCGCACTTAGGGTTTCGCTCCGGCAGCCATTTTGCACTGCTTCTAGATCTGATATTTCTAACCATCTGGTTCGTGAATTACGAGCGCCCATCTTAGTATGATGGGGACTGCGTCACCCCAACTCCATCCGTTCCCCGCCTTCCCTCCGAATTCGTATATAATATAAAGGCACATTGGACGTAGAATAGCGTAGAATACCATGGATGTTGTACTGCATGGTTTCTTGTAACACACTTCGCTGTATTTTCGGCTCATTCCCTCCTCATAAGCCAGTTCGTCACCAGGGCTTGAAACATGTGGCCAATATTTGTATACATGCTCAACTTTCTGAGCTATTTGGAAGTTCAGAGGAGACAGCAGCTGGAGTCCGGCAGGATATTCCTTAATGTCGGACCGATACTGCACCATTGAGACGCATCAAAGCAGATCAAAGCTGCCCCTGACCGCCCGATTCCATTTATGCAGGTGATGAAACGATGGATTGATGTCGGATTACTCGCTTGATGGCTTGGTATCCTTTTGATATCAAAACATCCCGGCGATTGATGCGACTTCTCAACAACACGGCAGTTTTTGCAAAGTTTTGCCTTTACGTCTACGGAGTGTTTTTCAGAGTACTGCTTAGGCCTGAAGGTCCTGTGGATGTTGGGAGAACTGCGTTGTTGTAGGCTACATATCATATCATAAATCCAGTTCTAAAAATACGGATGCTGTTGCACATCTAGCGAAAGGAGCGTGGATGGATAAGACGAAAAAGGGTGGTATCATGCAAGGAAGGAAAGGTCGACGTGATGTGAAGATTATATATCATGACTGGAGGGTCATGTTTTGAGTCTGTAAAGGAGCACCGTTCATTACGTCAAAGCCAGGTATCATAGAGTGATGGATTCGTTTTCGAGGGGGAAGGCCTGACATATCCTGAGAGGCATATTGCCGTTCAGTACGATATTCCGAGTATTCCGGAGCACCAACTTGTACCTCGCAAGGGTAGGATGATTCTGCGATTATTTGAGGTCAAAGACAGATTAGGGGGAGTATTCAATAGCCTGCCTACCATGTAGTTGTGCTCCATGCTCCCAAGTACGTGAATGTTTCCTCGTTCGGCCTGACTGATCCTGAACAAACTAAGATTAATGAAATACACTGCATTGGTATCCAAAATCGTGTCTTACCTCGAGGTGCGGTACAGGCTCGTTGTTATACAAATTTTGAGCGTCAGTTGGCCAATCCATCGGCTTCTGCCCGACACGCGCGGTCATAAAAGGATCAACGGGCCCAGAACTTCTAATCTCCTGCCATGCGTGGTCAATTTGAAAGCTAGTCACCAAAGGATTGTAGCAAATACCTCCATGGGATACCTAGGAGGACTACGCCGATCGTCTCCTGATATTGATGACTTCCTAGACCTAGTATCTGGAGAACGGAACAATGAGCCATTGCACAAGAGCACATCATATGTGCTTACCCATCGGTACTTGATTTTGTAATAGGACAGCCACTGAAGTAAAATCAGTAAGGAGATCACTGAGACGACTGATTGCTTACTGATGTCATCCCGACGCTTCTCAGCGCCGACTACCGCCTGTCGAGCTTGTCGCTCGACATCCAGGCAAGATGTATATCTCATAAAGGCCTCTTGTGTGTCTTTTTGGGCCCTCATGAGTGATGCACGAGCCGCTTGCAGAGCTTGTTCTATAGTCCGGATTAGGTGTATATAGCATTCGAAGCATGGTTACTTACTCGAGGAGCCGGCTTCTGCAGCCACGCCTTCAGGATTCCGGAAAGTGGGAGAGCCAGAAGTTCTAGGATGTGACATATGAGCGCCTGACTCGTCAGCTATACATGAACGGAAAGTCAGTGGGTTATATGTGAAAAAAGTCAATCAAATCTCACTGTTTGTCGGTCTATGATCCATGAAGCTTTGCTCTGAAGGTTCTGGTGTGAATGAATCGACGGAGTGGTCCCGTTGAGTGTAGGATGGTTCGCCGCCCGTTGAGTTTCGGAGACGGGGATTGTGCGGAAGCCCAGAGGCTTGTCGTTCGATGAATTTTCGAAGAAATGTTAGCTCGATGTCATCCGGCATCGTATAGGGCGGTCCCTGGATGTCGCCTTTCTGCATGAGCAGCTCCAGGTGTGACATCGTCTTGTCTTTCAATTGTTGTAGCCACTCATGCAACTCCATGTGATCTTGATCAGCACGCGCGTCGTAATCCTGTCGTCTCCGGGCTTTGCGCCAATAGGTTTTTGTCATCTTGAGTGCGCGATTGACTTCATTGTCGAGTGTCCTATACCAGTCGCTGGATTGGCGATTCAAGCGCACTGCTAAAACGCCTGGCTGGACTCGTAATTGCAATATACATCTTCCCTCTCTATCAGGGGGCCCTAGGACGCCCTTCTGGCCTTGATTG